ATATTAGATTAGCTCTGACGGATTTTAGCAAAAATAGGGTATTTTATAGGAATTGTATGGGGTTACAACTAAGCCAAACTTAAAAAAATTTACCGAAGGAAACGAGGAAAAATTCATTGTCAGTTTTGCTTTTTGTGCTCACGTTGACGTCATAGAATATCGAAAAACATTGACGTTTTCCTTCGAACGCGCGCAGATTACTTGATGCTTCGTCCTCAGTGCGCGTGCGATCGTAAAACTATAGGGAACCACATTAAGATATGTTGCATGGTCGGAAAAAGGAAGATCGACACGCTGCGGTAATATGGGGGGCCATGGACATAAAATCATCAAGTAAGAAAGCAATGTCTTTTACTGTCAACAAACAGGCAACCATTAGTAATGCTTCAATCGTGTTTATGTCCGATCTTGATTGACAAGACGGCAAAAATACCAGCATATGATCGTGAGGCATCAATAAATCAAAAGCAGAAAGCTAGGTTTCCATTGCAGACTAATTCAATGTTATTAGGGCAGGACGTTTTATGGAACAACGTAATTTATATGTCAAGTATAGGTAAAAAAATACATATAATCAAGTGGCTACGAGCCACTCAACTTAGAAAATGGATATCCTGTAAACAGTGACAATTTTGATGCCAGTGACTTAGGGTTTTAATCCGTAGGTTAAGTTAAAGTTAAAGCCCACTGGCATTGTTAAGAAATAGTGCAAAACGCAACGGTAAGAGAATACTCGAGGAGAAGTAAAACATTCATGAAGTTATCGGTCCGAGAGACCGAGTTATCCTTGTCCGAGAGATCGAGACAATTATAAAGAAAGATACCGCTTCTTGTCCGATCACCAAAGCAAGTAATAATTCTAATTTTCATTCCTCTCATTTTTTTCGTTCTTTATTTTCCCAGCCGGTATCAGTGATTTTTTTTCTCTCTTTGTAACCTTTTCTCATCTTAGAAATTAAAAATAATGCGTTCAGCGTAGAGTCACTATACCACAAGGACAGCACCACGTCTCGCCCGCTCAACAAAGTGAAGCCCTGTTCGGCGGGGTTCGTACTAGGATGGGTGACCAAATAGGAATACCCCGTTTTGTAATAAACTCTTTTTTTTTCCTTTCCTTTCCAAGGCGATATTAAAGACTGCAGAACTCCCAGCCTTGTGTAATGTCGTTTCTTCTATTTCTCAACTATTTGGTCCTCATTTCGCCATGTCCGTATTTACGTGTATTTATTTACAATAGCGTATAAATCAACAGCGGAGCACGTTGCTCGAATTCTCCTCAATTCTCTTGACTGTTGATCGTCTAAAACATTTAATCACGACTTGAATCATTCGAAAATTCATACAGCTCGTCAATTTTGTGACTTTCAATGTCTTCTTTTTCGGCAATCAATCAACCTGTATGAGGGGACACTTTCGGGAAATGAGCTATTTATATAATTTCGTACAGGTAGCTTCTATTTATAAAAACATTCGTGCGTAATGTTCCAAATGTCTAACAGGAACTGAAGGAGTAAAGGAGTGATGGAGTGAAATCGCTTCACCAGTACAACTTGGACAATAATGTTTTCCAAGTTANAAACATTCGTGCGTAATGTTCCAAATGTCTAACAGGAACTGAAGGAGTAAAGGAGTGATGGAGTGAAATCGCTTCACCAGTACAACTTGGACAATAATGTTTTCCAAGTTAAAAACGTACGTGCGAAAATTTATTCAATGTAGAGTATTTCCTGCAGTAAGATATTGAGTATTTCGGTCAGCAATCAAAAAATAACTAACTTGACACGACGCAAGCGACTGTAAAAGGGCCTTAGACGGCTGATGTTCGAAACCCGGGGGTGAACTCCTATATGAGAAGGTCGGGGAAGCTCGTCATCTCGGTTACAAATCAAGGATTCTGGTCTCACTTAGGGTGTTGACGACGAAACGTCGCCATTTTTCGCTGTCAAAGTATCCTTTAGGGTGCACTCGAAGACATAATAAATAAAAGAAACGCTCTCCTTTAATTTCTATTTTTAAGGCTTGATTTCCGCTGATCTCTGTCGGGTGCGCCCGGGATCCTTTATTCAACAGTGGCTAGTAATCGAACCCATTCCGCTTTAAATGGTATCTTTTACGAGTCTAACGAAGTTCGAGCGACTCCCATATTAGTCTCCTTTAGGAGTTAAATTCAAATTTTCCGACGAGCATCCCTGACCTTTTCATATGGAAGTTCTCCCCGGGGTTTCCAATGTCTAACAGGAAGTGAAAGAGTGATGGAGTGAGGGAGTGAAGGAGTGAAGGAGTGAAGGAGTGAAGGAGTGAAGGAGTGAAGGAGTGAATGATATGTTCTTCTTCTACAGAAACCGGGATAAGCTCCGGCCTGATGGGCCACTTGGCTCGCATGCAGACTTTACCTACCTTTACTAGCGTAACTAACTCTTTCCTGGGTACAGTTCTTTCTATTTTTTGACGATACTCGCTGACGTTAAAAACTTTGTCCTCGAACTCTTGTTGGCTCTCGTCTCTTACCTCAGATAAGAAAGGTAGCTGTCTCAAAACTGAGCCTTCAAATTAGACATTCATGCTCTAAGCATAGAAAGATCTTAATGGAAGCCCTCTGTGAAACATCAGTGTTAACATATCTCATTACTTGTTTACTGATGATATAATTTTCAGTTGCTCTCTTTGACAATGGCACACAAAAACAAACACTATTATGCTGTATTGTACTTTACCCCATACCTAGAAGAAAACGAGCTAATGAAGCCGTGAATTCCAATTTATCGTTTTAGTGACCGTGTAACCAGTAAGGATATTCATTAGGCACCAAACGCTTCAGGCGATGTCTTCACAGGGAAAGGTATTTAACTCTTTATGTCTTCAATAATTCGCTAACTCGGAAGCTCGTGTACAAAGAAGCCGTATCACCGGGTACCGGATCTCTTCACCCAGGTGTAAAAATGGGCACTGGCGAATTTAATGCTGGAGGTAACCCTGCGATGGACCAGCAGGAGGGGAGTAGAAATATTCTTAGTCGCTTCATGCTACAGAAGCCGGGAATAAGCGCCGGCCTGATGGGCCACGTGGACTCGTATGCAGCCCGCGTTTTTGTCACCGGGTACACAATTTATTTCATCATTTACTTTTTTTTCATCAAATTGAAGGAAACCCCGTAAAGAAGTTTTGTAAGAAAGCATTAGGCATTTTTCGCTTTCTTCGTTTCAAAACTGAATTTCTCTTCTCTCCTACATAGGACAAACTTTGAGGCCGAGAACCCACCAAAATCGTTTCACTTATAATTCCAGTTACCTTGTCCATAATTTTGCATGATTTATTTCAGGAGTCAAAATCATCGAGCTTCTCCCAGGAATCCAGTGGAGGAGAATTTCAAGAAAATAGTGGAGCACAATCATCATCAAGAAGATTACAGGTTACTTTCCTGGCATCAGAATGGAGATCAAGTAAAGGAGGACTTTCCACTTTAAACAGAGAGTTGGCAGTAGACGTTGCAAAAAGTCCTGAGGTAGAGGTCACCTTCTTTGTTCCACGATGCAACGACGATGACAAGAAAGCAGCTCTTGGCCACAAAATTAATCTTGTTAAAGCAAAAAGGCTGGTTGGTATGGATGAGTTGGCATGGCTTAACTTTCCACCAAGTGATTTACAAATTGACATAGTTGTTGGTCACGGTGTCAAGCTCGGTCCTCAAGCACAAGTTATACGAAAGTCACACCAATGTAAATGGGTTCAGGTTGTCCATACTGCCCCTGAAGAACTTGGGATGTATAAGACATATTCGAATCCAGTATCAGTGAATGAAAAAAAGCGTGAAATGGAAGTCGCACTTTGTAAAATGGCTGACTTAGCTGTTACTGTTGGACCCAAATTAAGTGAGACTTTTCGCGCTTACCTTCGTGGCTGCAAGAAAGATCAAATGGTCGTTGAATTTACTCCCGGAATTTTGGCTGAGTTTMCTGAAGTCCACCAYGTRGTTGATGAAAGGAAAAAATTCCGAGTTCTGGTTTTTGGGCGTGGCGATGACGAAGATTTCGAATTGAAAGGATTTGACATTGCAGCCAAAGCTGTTGCTACCTTAGATGACACACATCTTATTTTTGTTGGTGCACAAGATGGAAAGCAAGATGAGGTTAAACGTCGTTTGCTCAAGTGTGGCATCCTTTCTCAGCATCTAACTGTTAGAAGTTATTTACAAAGCCGGGAGAGTTTGAAAAACTTACTTTGCGAAGTAGATCTTGCAATCATGCCTTCGAGAACGGAGGGCTTTGGTTTGACAGGTCTTGAAGCCTTGTCAGCTGGTCTGCCAATTCTTGTCAGCAGAAACTCCGGATTTGGAGAAGCGTTGAGAAAGGTACTATATGGCTCATATTTTGTAATTAATTCAGAAGATCCCGACGTATGGGCAAAAGCCATCAAGGATGTCCAGGACAAAGACAGTTTTGATCGTCTTCAGGAGTCTGAGGGATTGCGTGCGTCATACGAGAAGAAGTACAGTTGGGAAAGCCAAACTAAATCTCTCATTAGTAAGATGTTCAGCATTACTCAAGGTGTGAATATTTTCAATATCAACTTTGTTTTTTAGTTATTGATGGGCTGTCAGTCAGAGTGATAATAGAATGTTTACTAATTAATACAACAGAACTTGTTTTGCAAGTCAATGTATGAAAGATCATATATTTGAACTGCGGAAAGAGATATGAAGACATGAAGGATTATCGCAGTTATATACACTCCTTATGCAGCAGTTTAAATATATGATCTTTCATATATTCACTTGCATTCTTCACCATCTACGGGTATATTACAAACTTAGAACGTGATCAGCTCTCAGTTGGCTTTTTAGCTCAGTTTGTAGAGCACTGCACCGGTATCGCAGAGGTCACGGGCTCGAATCCCGTTCAAGCCTGAGTTTTATTTTTTACATTTCACAGCTTACTTCGTGTATATTACTGCGATGATCTATAGAACTCATTTTCCTAGTAATTTAACACATCTGGTTGGTTGCTTGCAAATCTGTGAAAGCAGAGCTGTGTATCTGTTTGTTATTTTGGTTATAATAGTAAAGTAGAAAACAGCCTTCATTACTTGCATTTGATGCTCAGCATTTTATCGAAAAAAAAGAGTACCTAGAAGTGCTTTTGAGAAATTATATTTTACATAAAAGGTTACATGAAAGCTAACAATGCATAGTCGAGGTAATTGTAAGCTGTCATGTTTTGTCTTGGTAGGTTCTCCTGTAGCTAGTCCGAGCTCAACAACAACAGTACCGACTCAACAATTGGATATCACAACTGAGTGTCTTCCAGGTACCATACCTACTAAGAAAAAAATTTGCAAACAGCTGTTCAGCCGTCGCCAACTGGTGTAACACTCGAGGAATCAGATATGTCGAAAATGTTGCAAATTTTCACATTTCCAAAAAAAGATACAAAGTTTCAAGACTCATTCATAATGAGGGGCATTTTCAACTCAAATCACAGGAACTCGAAGCTAATAATTTTATAAATCATGGGATAAATTTTTAACTCGAAAATTTAGTAGAGTGAAAACCAACAAGTCCCCACCAGTACTTGTCAACTGATTGTTATAACTAATAATCAGTTAATCCGATGTTTCAGCTGGGCTCGTTTTCGACAAATATCGGTTCTTGCGCCATGGCTATAAAAATCCGTCCCGAAGAACGTTCAGCTGTCATTTAGTAGTAGAATGAAAGAATTCGATTCAGCTCGAAAAAAGGTTTATATGCTGAGCATTGAACAGAGTCCCAGTCAATGTTGTGGTTTGTTAGTTGATGATGTACAGCAATGTGATTGTTGGCATCATCATTTCTGGTGGCTCGTTTCTGTAAAGTCAGTCTCGTGTTGAGGTTTCTGCCAGTCTCACCAATGTAGGAAGTCTGGCAGTCGGAGCATTTGATCTTCGCTGATTAGTAAGTGTCCTAACGTATTTGTAGGTTTGTGGGCTTCACGGATGTTGTGGGGCTGTAGGATCCATGATATGGTCTCAGAAGTGCCCCAAATGTAAGGTGTAGTAACAGGTGTTGGGTTCCTGTTGGTTGCGTCAGCTTCAGTTAGTCTGCAAATGCTTCGTCTAGTAAAGTCAGCGTTGTAGTTGTTTCTGTGAAAAACATGTTCAAGGTATCTGTTTTCGTCACGTAAGCTGTCCGGTGTGTCACAAACTAGTTGCGCTCGTCTCGTACAAGTCTTTATAGTCGTGTCTTTGTGTGAAGTCGGGTTGTAGGATGATTCGTCAAGTAATCTGTGAATATGCGTCGGTTTTCAGATTGAGTGTCAACTGAGGTGTTGATGGAGTGTCGATCGAGTATCGATCGAGGGTCCATCGAGGGTATCGATGGACACTCGACCGCGGATGCCTTCAGTACACATAAGTTTTAACATAAGAGTCAGCCAGAGATGTCGAAGGTGAGGTAAATTTTCGCTTCGTTATTTTCGACCGACCGTAGTATTTGTATGCATAGTCATTTACTGTGTACGAACATACCGGTAAACATACCAAGCTACACAAATTTGCATATTTCGCACTAGTAAATCGCGAAAAATCCTTCGACAAGATCTTGAAAAAAGGTTAACCATAGTTCAGTTAAATTAATTCGTTTCTGCTTCACTGTTATTTCTGTTATTTTGAAAAGTCCATTTTACTTACGCTAATAACCGGGAGTTCTCGACTTATTAGTTTGCGTGTCGGTTAACTGACAAGCGCATTCTTATTTCAGCACGGTAATCTCTGTCGATAGCTATAGAAATGAATCTAAATGTTTATTTTACTTTCCTCATATATCGATCAATGCTTGATTCATTCTAAGTTTGTAACTGAGTAATATTTCGTTCCTCAAAGACGAAGCTCAAAGAACAAAACAATTGTGTATGCGGAATGGCCTTTGAAAAACACACCTCAACAATCTTAATCTCCGCGTTGTAGAACGTTGGTTTCGTTTACTATTCATGTAGAAAGGTCTCTATCGAGTACAAACTCAATGATACGCGATGCGTTTAATTTGGCCTGGGATAGTTTGAGTTCGGAATAGTAAGATGGCTCCCTCGTGTCTTATGCACTACCTTGGCAATGTCGAGCTTTGCACCAGAAGCTAGAGACGAATACACAGCCCATGAAAATCTCTAGGTTTTTACAGTAGCGGCGAACCTGAGATCGAAGAACTCCTCGATGACTCCCTCTTTCGCCTCGTACAGATCAGCCCACTTATTTGGTCTTTTTCTCGTTTTTGGTTGAGTGTCATTGAGAAAGAGGAATACTCAATCCTAAGCTTCCCGTATTGCTACAGCCTCCAACAACACGTCTTCCTTGCATTCTGCAACGATTTTGACTGACACTATCGCATCTTTGCATATATTCTTTAACGATAACTGCAGAAATTTTCGCGCGCTCATTGGCTAATTTTCATTGTCAATAAGCGGATAGACAAATGAAATTATAATTCATGCGATGTGTCAAAAAGTGAGAGCAGACAATTTGTTATCGTGAAGAACAAATTGACGTCAATCTTTCATGCGTCTGTCCTGTCATGATCAACAACAGGACAGACGTATGACAAAGTGGCGTTAATTTGTCAGTTATCACCAAAATGACCTCGGACTTGGACACGGAAAAGGCCAATTTTACGAACTTTGAAAATTCATAGAAAATTAACGAAAATAGCTACAACGATAAGTTTTTCGCAGCGGCGAACGGGAAATGAAGGAAATTTATATTAGCAAAAAATTGTCTTTGTATTTTTCCTCTATATATAAACAGGAGCTATAATCGGGGACGAAGACAGTAAGTCTTGGAATCCACGCGCACCTAAGCCTATCATATGGGACAATTTTGCTATTTTTAGAACAAATTGCGCCACCCTGACGACATATATCCGCGCAGATCCACGCACATGTTGTGGGTTCTCGCGTTGATGTTGTCATGTTGCGTGAATAAATGGTGAGAGTTGCGAGATTCTCTAACGGATTTTTGACGGCGATGGCAGAAAATAAGGTAGGAAATAAGAACTAAAAGAAGAAAAGAGTTTCTCAAACAACGCTTAATCATAACCAAAACCTGCTTTTGATAATTTTTTACTGTTTCCTCTTGTTTGGCGAAATTACAAAAGTTTTTGAAGGGAAAGTCTGACGCTTACAAGTAGCTCATTTGCATAGTGCAGCGCGTGCACTTTCAAGTCCGAGTCGGTGTTTTCAATTGTCAACAAATCTTGATTTGATTTCTTTCGTTATCTTTTGTGCTGAGATGCTGCAAAAATTTTTCACCAATGCCGAAAGGCTACTAACATCATGTGTTTTCCTTCGACATAGTGAAATTTTACACTGCGAAAATAAAATAGACAAGGAGTTTTGATTACTCAACCAAAAAAATCGAAATCGTTATTTGAGTTGATTAAAGAAAGCGTCATGGTAACTTTGCTGATTATTTCTGCTGTATTCACATATTTTCAGCTAAGCGTTTAACGTGTTCTCAAACATTTATCTAGCATATTTATTTATCTAAATCCAACTAGTTTTTGTCAGACCATCCCGAGTGTAAAACTTCGGAGGTCCCATGGGATTTCCCGAAGAAATGAATCGTCACGAGTATCATTTCGTATTGTCATCGCATTAAATCGGGAACGCCGTACACCAAGTACATAGGCGTAATGGGGACCAAATGCTGGTTCACGTCGTTCGTGTGCATGGGAAGAAGAGTTCAAGTAACTTGTCGTTTGAGCATTCAAGTAAAGGCGGCCATATTGCTACAACTTGCTGGGCCTATCGTTGCATGTTGTGTTGTCGTTGCCGTTTTTTATGTCTCGAATAATTTGGACAGCTTTCCGTCACGAGTTGGTTTCCAATTTTCAAGGTAAGCTTAAGTTATTTTCCATTTCTCAGTCGCTCTGTCGTTTCCTTATTTCCGTCGAAAGTACTACACAGCCCTTGAGAATTTAAGCTTACATACCAACAAATGCCTTGCTCCTTGTTACTCCTTGTTATTTCATTCAGGTGTTGCTAACCGAGTTTCCTCGGCGCTGGTCACCCAAGCCATTGACATTTTTGTTAGCCATGGCTGTTCCGGCGTATGCTTGTTCATTAACACTAACGCCGTCCGCTTGGACGGGCGAACAAAACACTGCATGCTTGAATTCAAGTCTTAACTAATTAATATTCGAATCGGTCGTGTCAGTTAGTTAGTTGTCATTCAACAGTCGCAGAGTTCGGACTAAAAACAGTACGTTTAGTCACTGTGTTTTCGTTTCGATTCTTGTAGTAGTTGTAGAATTTCGTATTGTCGAAACATAATTTGGTCCTTCGAGCCGGATGAATTACAGTTGGTTGTTTGAATGGCGTCGAAAGACGGAGTCGATGAAGGATCCAAAACGCCCTCAGAAATCGACAAAGAGGACATCGAAACAAGGACTTCGCTGCAAATCGAGTAATTTCTTCGAAGAAGGGCAGCGTTCAAAGGAGCCGTAACGAAGAATTCAAAGAAGGCTAAAGATATTATTAGCAAGAACAGTAGCAGAACGGTGCTACGATCCATAAAGGAAAGAGTTTTTCAAGCATTTACAAGATGCGAGTAACACAA